GCACCGGCAGCTGGCAGAGGCACCGAAAAAATGGGCGGCGACATCGACGATGAAGAAGGCAGGCGGGGGTTTGCTGTTGGAATGGGAGAGGATGGCCAATGTGCCACCGACGAGCGAGCCAGTGGAAGGAGTAGGCGGGCGAGCGTGCGTCTGTCTCGTGTCTGCGGCGATGCAAATCCGGCTTAAAAATAAGCCTGGAAGTCGGCAGGCGGATGAAAAGCGGACGCACGTCCATTTAGGTCGACGCGTTTGACCATTTTTTTGTCCACGCCGACCGAACGCGCCGATTTAAACGGACGCACGCAGACGAAATGGGTCAACGCGTTGGAGTTGCCATTAGTGCCCTGAGTGCAATGACCAACGAGACTCCCCGTTCCCCATCATTCATTCAAGCCATGCTAAAAAAAACATTCGTTCAAGCTTAACGGGGTCTCGGTCTCTGCTGTGTCCGATCGTACATTTACACGCCCCGTGGCCATTTCAGCAGGTGTCAGGGTCCACGAATCAGAGCTATTGCTACGACGGCGACGACGAAGGCCAGACTTCTCCTTCCTGCTCCTGCTCTGTTGACGTTCCCGTGGGAGTACTGAGGCGTCGGAGTGGCCTTGGATCCAGACCCTGCGTCAGATCCAGAGACAGAAAATGGCGCTCCGATTAGCTCACCGTCACGCGCTCCGACCAGCTCCACGGGCCTATTACAAAACATTTGCAGGAGGTTCTGCTGCACGTACCTGCAGGGGTAACGTCGGGATCGTAGGGCGTCGCCGGAGAAGACATCGGAACACCCATGGCTGCACGAATGGCACGACGTTATTTTCTACTCGTGCTGTTGTTCGTACTTGCGCAATGTGAACTTACAGTCGCACTGGCTGGCGGGCGGCGCCTGGACCCTGCACGCCGCGGGCATCTGCAGCGCGCGGGCGCCGTCCAGGGCGACGCCGAGCGTGGCCGCCGTGCCGCCGAGCACCGCGCAGAGGCACCGCGGGCTGGACCGCAGCACGCCGGACACCGCCGCGCAGCACGGCTCCCCGGGCGCCGTCGCGTTGCCCGACATGTAGCCCATGCACGGCGACAGGCTGACGAGCTCCGGCATGCAACCAGAGCCCCCGCTGCCACCAGATGGAGCCTGCGCCGGCGCCTGCGCCTGCGCCGCGCACTGGCACACCAGCAGCGCGGCCGCCACGGCCAGGACAAGGCCGAGCGCCGACACGCCGTTATGACCCGCTCCCATTGGACTTGTTGTGATTCGTGCTCCCCTTTGATGCGCGAACTATGCGTGGCACTGGGAATGGTCAGTTCGCTGATTTTGTAGCAAGAACCATTCTCGTTCTTGACACTGACAGACCATGGTCCATAATAGCGGTTAGTTAAGGTTGGTCGCGCCGGTGAGCCCAGGCTGTCCATATGCATTCGCCATGGTTCGGTCAACTTCTCGCCAAATCTTTGGACTTCGCTTTCATGGCGAGTCAGTCAGAGTCTCCGAGACAGAGAGAGCAGTGCACCTGCAAACTTTGTGGATTCATCTGGTCACAATCGTCCTAGCTACCTGACGTCCTGATCACCTAAACGCATCAGCACAAGCGGTTCGCGCAACCACCATGGCCAAACGCTCATCTACCACCTGAAACATTCTTAACCACACTAGGTATACACGAGACCCACATGCATATATAAGACGCGAAGGCGCGCGAGATCTGGCACAGTTTAATTTGCTCCTTCAAAAACTGTACATTTTTAAGGCGTATATGCCGCTATGACACGTGACGGTGCGATGGGCGCGGTGGCGGCGATGGTGCTGGTGCTGGCCGTGGCCGTGGCGGTGCTGCCGGCGGCGGTGTCGGGGCAGGCGGGGGTGGCGACGTCGTGCACGGCGTCGCTGATCAGCACGTTCACGCCGTGCCTCAACTTCGTGACGGGGAGCACCAACGGCGGGGGCTCGCCGACGCTGCAGTGCTGCAGGGCGGTGGCCGGGGTGGTCCGCACCGGCGCCGACTGCGCCTGCCTCATCCTCACCGGCAACGTGCCCTTCGGCCTCCCCATCAACCGCACCCTCGCCATCTCCCTCCCCAGAGTCTGCAAGTCCCTCTCCGTCCCGCTCGTCTGCAGAGGTCCGTCTCTACACACAACAATTTCTTTTCACTGCACAATTTGACCTCTAATTAACCAAGCAAGTTCTTGTCTGTTCCAATTTTTTTTGTGATCTGCAGATACAGCGACGCAAATCCCAGCTCCAGGTAACTTAATTCTCCTTGCTTCACCTTGACATTGCCATCAAAGTTCAGAGTGTACATTACTGAAGCTGACACTGAACCATGAACTTGCAGGGCCAATTGCATTTGCTCCGGCACTGCCCCCTCTGCGTAAGTATCTTCAACGATGTTCTGCTCCTACCGTACCGAAGTTGCAAATTAATTTGTTGGTCTGAAAAAACGTCTTGCAATTCTGCAGCAGCGTTGCCGCCGGAGTCATCGGTGGATGAGACGGCGACGTCGCCGGCGGTGGAAGCGCCGCCGGTCATGCAGGGGCAGAGGCCGGTGGTGGTGCCCAGCTCGGCGTGGAGGGGCGCCCGTGCTCCCTCCGTTCTGCTGCTTGCAGTCGCATCCATTTTGGCTCTGGTTATGTAGGTTGTGCACGTGGACTTGTAGGATGCTCATCACCGAGACAATGCCTGGTTTTCGCCGAAAAGAAAAGAAGGATGTTATTGTGTTGGTGGCTTTCGGCTCACCCGTCTAAGAAAATTTTCCGTGTGGGATCAATATGATGTGATTATGGAACACGGTCATTTCTTGAATGTCCAACGCTACCTATTTCTGTAATTATATCAGGGTGGTTGAACAAAAAGCAATGGCTGGGGAAGTGCCTTTCTAAGCTCGAGCTCAAATGAGCTCGGTATGAACAATAAAATCCAAAAACATAATTATTTTTCCTAGAAACTCATGAAATTTTTTTGTAACAAACATAAAAGGTTCACATGAGTCAAATTTTCTGGATGGAATCACATTAGTAGAGGTGTGGGCAAAAACATGTCAGATATCTGAGGTGTGGGGAAAAAAAACCTCCACGAATGTGATTCAAATCACGAAATTTTGCACACGTAATTACTCAATGTTTGTTGCTAATTCAGATTTTTTTGTGTGAACTTTTCCAGTTCATCCAAGCTCATATTGTTTGCGTGCCAACAGCTGCATCTACGTCGTTGTGTCATCGGATTTAGATCTGGAAAGCACCTCATTCCAAAACAAAAAAGATAAAATGTCATTTACTTGTTTTGTCCTAAATAATAGGGTTAACTTGTTCAAACATGCATGAACATGGCATAAACAGATTCATTGGATTTTTCTGATATAACTTTTCTTCATGTGCATTATGGTTTAATTTCTATATATTTCAATTTTTAGATTATTTTCTGAAACAAATAAGTCATTTCTGATTCATCCAAAAAATAAGTCATTTCTTATATTTTCTGATCGTAACAAAAAATAATCCAATGAGTATGAATATTTTCTTCATGTGAGTTATTAGCAGTGGGGCCCTCCTTGGTGTTTACCTAGGGGTTAACTAACTAGGTTAGTTAGTGCTAATTAACAGGCCATCCTATGACCACGATCCGACGCGCCGCACCACCATCTTTCCCGCGAGCCCAGCCACGTGTCCAGCCGTCGCCCGAAACTGCTGGACGGGCAACACCACCGTGCTCCGGTTCTCGTCAGGTTGGTTTTTTTTTTGAACAACAGAAGGCGCACAAAGCGCCAAACTTTACTATTCAGCTCAATAACAGTGTATAGCATGGATTACAAATCCCTGGAACTGAAAATTGGAAAGAAGAGAAACTACAGGGCAAGATCCATTTCGATGAGCTGAGGCAAAACAGCATATGTCAGGTCCTAGATAAGGCCTAAGAACCTGTTGAGCCATATTGTGGGCAATCCCATTGATCTCCCTAGAAATGTGAAACACCTGAGCATGAAGATCAGAGGAGAAGAAGAAAAATTCAGCTAGTATTTTCCTGATAGCCCAGGGGATGGCAACATCAGAAGCCTTAGAAGAAGCAGCAAACGATGCCAAAGAGAGGCAGTCGGTGAGGAAAGTAGGTTGAGAAATGTTAAGGCGATTAGCCACTTGAGCCGCCAAGAGAAGAGCCAAAGCTTCCGCTTTCAAAGGAGAATCTGTATCCGCAGAAGACGCTTGAACCTGAACATTGATTTCTGTCGGATCTTGTGGCAAACAAAGGTAGACTCCGATGCCAGTAGCCACCATTCCTTGAGTTAAACCAGGGATTTTTTTACACCTGAAAGCTGCATCAGAGTAAACTCTTGGTCCTGTTAGCAGAAGATCAGACTTAATTGTTTTTCCCTGCACAGGTAGCTGGTTAACAGTAGGCACAACACAAACAACGTTATTTTGGAGAGAAACATGCATGTTATCATTCAATTCAACATCGAGAGCTTTAGCAGCAATATGAATTTGATAGGGAAGAGCTCTCTTCCTGTTGAAAAGATGGTCATTCCGAGCTTTCCATAGGCACCACAAAAAATTGAGAATGTTAGGCACAGATGCATGGGAATGAATCATGTTAATTAAAGCATGTAAAACGCTGTGAATAGTAGGATTGGCTTGAATTAGTGCATCCGTTCTAATGCACCAAGGAGAAGAGAACCAAGCAGCTCTAGCGAAGTCGCAAAGAAAAAACAAATGCATCTCATCTTCTTGCTGTCCACATCTGCAACAAAATTGAGAGATATGTAGAGTCGCTATATGGTACCCCTCTATTCATTTTTATAAGACTTTGAAAATATTTCAGACAATGTGCAAAACAGGTCATTTTAAGTTGTCTGAAACAACTTACAAAAATGAACGGGGGAGTATAAAAAATTGTCATTGATTAGTATGGTTCTCATCCAATAATAAAAAGATCAGAACATACCCCCTTCCGTTGCATAATATAAGAATGTTTGGCAAGCTAAAACAGCTTGCAAAACGATCTTATATTATGAAACGAAGGAAGTAATTGATTCAGTTTGACTTTATTTCTTAAAAGTTGGGCGAGAAATTAGTCGCACTATGACTTACATTGATGAAACATCTAATACACGCTAAAACATGTTGACATGATGAAACATTAGTGGCAGTGTGACTTTCATTGATGAAACATCTAAAACACGTTGACATAGGGCTGACCATTGTTAGATGAATCTCTCGGGATAATCACCGCCTTTGGGGGGGGGGGGGGTAATCTCAACAAATTTGGGCCCATATTATCAATGGCGGATGCCATAAATACACCGTCCCTAGGTAATGTGGTGTATAATTAGCGGGCCTCGTCTCACGCACGTCCGTCCGCTACTGGTAATATTACCCCACAGGTAAGCTGAGACCAGCCATAAGAGCAACTTCAATGGGCCGACCCAAACGGACGGCGATTTTATTCGCCTTTTGTTCGTTTGGATCGGTCGCCCGTTCGGGATCCGCTCTGTTTTAGATTTGGGTCAGTAGTGCGTCCAACGCGCCGACCCATATCTACCGGCGTGGCTGGCTGGCCGCCCTATTTCAACAAATAGATTATTTTTGCATTGCTTTTGCATTCAAACATATAGTCAAATAAAAGAGTTTCAACTGAATAAAATAACATAGTTTTAGAAGCCGAATACAAGTAAAAATGTCTCACATAGTTTTGCAAGCTAAATAAAGAAGATACATCTATTGGTTGCCAACATGAGCCCACATATACTCAACCAAATCATTTTGCAGTTGCATGTGAGTTTCCCAACCACGCATGTCATGATGGAATTGGGTGAACTGTTCAAACGTTGCCGCTCCTCCATGCTCAGGCACAACATTCTCACCCTGAAACTAAAACCCTTGATCGTACAGACGTTCCAATCGCTCATCTTCTGCGATCATATTGTGCATGATCACACAAGCAGTCACCACCTCCCACAGTTTCTGCGTGCTCCAGGTATTAGCAGGATACCGAACGCTGCCCCATCGAGATTGCAAAACACCAAAGGCATGCTCGACATCCTTCCTATCACTCTCTTGCTCTTAGGAAAATCTTTTCCTCTTCTCTCCGACAGGGTTGGGGATTGTTTTGACAATAGTGGTCACTGAGAATAAATACTGTCACCCAGTTAGTATCCTTTGACGTAATTGTGACCGTTGATAGTAAAGTTCACAGGTGGGCTGTTGCCTTCGGCAAGCCTAGCAAACACCAGCAAGCACTGAAGCATGTTGATATCATTGTGTGATCCGGCCATGCCAAAGAAAGAGTGCCAGATCCAGAGATCTTGAGACACCACGACCTCGAGTATGACAGTGCAAGCCCTGACATGGCCCTTATACTGCCCTTGCCAAGCAGAAGGGCAGTTATTCCACTCCTAGTGCATATAGTCTATGCTGCCAAGCATCCATGGGAAGGCCCTGCTGGCATTCATCGCAAAGGAAATTGTCAAAAAAGAACTCGTCGGCGGAGTCCATTTTGTACCTTGGCAAACTGTTGAACAACTTGTGGGCGTCGACGAAGAAGATGGCCGTCGAAGGGAGTCGCGACGCGCACGGACCAGCTAGCTGCCCTGCCGGCGTCTGACGAGCGTGCCAGTGAGGATCTGGCCGGGGCGGCGAGGCGGCTTCTTGGTCGCGGTCGCGGATGTGTCAGGAGGGGGGTGGGAAGCAGTCGGTTTCCCCAGCGGCAAGACAGCGATGGCGGACCATGTGGGAGGTGGCGGCATTGCTGAGCGGATGTTGCGGCGCCGGTAGCTGGCAGAGTCACCGGAAAAATGGGCGGCGGCGTCGTTGAGCGGATGTTGCAACGTCGGCAGCTGGCAGAGTCACCGGAAAAATGGGCGGCGGCGTCGGCGACGAAGAAGGCGGGCGAGGGTGAGGGTTGCTGTTGGATGAGGGGAGACCAATATGCCATCGACCAGCGGGCCAGGGGAGGAGAAGGCAAGCACGCGCGCGTCCGTCTCGTGTCCGCGCCCCCGCTCCCCTGCGCCGCTGGCCACTCCGACCGCGGCGGCCACAAATCCGGCATTAATGGCCGCCGTCCCATCCCGTCCCTCCTCAGCTGGCTCGCAGCATGGAAGCCCCCTCGCTCCTCGCGGTTCCGCGTCCTCGGGCGGTCCGTCGAGGGCTTCTGCCTTGCCATCAACACCGGCCACAACCATCGTAGGCTCAGATCCAGCTTCGACGCCGCGTTTCCTGGAGAGAGGTGGCCCGTCCCAGCCGGGGCTGCTACTTGGCTCAACGGATCTGGGCGCATCCCTTGCTTTTGGGCACGGGCGCCTTAAATCCATGGTGGTCGCCCCATCCCCCGCTGTCGACATTTCCTCTTCGGGCGAAGACCATGGATGGATGGAGGTCAGATCCAGGAAGGGAAAGCGCGTAGGCTTCGGGCCTGCGGTTCATACGCATCATCGACGGGAGCACCGCTCGGACCGCCAGCAGGGCTCCAATGCGCCCACCGGCCGCGACGCCTTCTTAAGCAAGTTCAAAGGAAAGTGTTTCCGGTGCCTCAACAAGCTCCACCACCGCAAGGACTGCAGAGATCTGCTCCGCTGCGTCCTCTGCAAGCGCCAAGGCCATTTCGCCCGCGAGTGCCCACAGAACCCGAGGAACGGGGGTCCAGGAG